ATCGCCGGGCGCCCCGCTGACTGTTCCTTACAGCCTCTGATTCGTCTCTGCTGTACAGGCCGCACCAGCTTCTACGAGGAGTACGGCGTCATTCGCGACGTGCTCCAGAACCACCTGACCGAGGTCCTCACCCTCGTGGCCATGGAGCTGCCCCACAACATCAGCAGCTCAGAGTCTGTGCTCCAGCACAAGCTCCGGGCCTTCCGGGCTCTGCGGGGCCTGCAGAAGGGCAGCGCCGTCCTGGGCCAGTACCAGGCATACAGCGAGCAGGTGCGCAGAGAGCAGCAGAAGCCGGACAGCTTCCGCAGCCTGACGCCGACCTTCGCAGGTGGGCTCGGGGGCCGGGCGTGGGCAGCCACCGCCGGGGGCAGCTTTCCAGGCTCAAACACGCTTCGCTTTGGGTTGGAAGGGACCTCGGGTGGGGTGTTCATGAGGGTGCTTGTCGGCAAGGAGGAGATTCCTTTGCCTCTCCGGCCTCCCCCATCTTAAAGCGGCAGGTCACCTGTTGGGTCCGTGTGGGCGAAGGGCACCCGGTAGTCATCTCGGTTTGGGCCATGTCCACACACACCCGCAGGGCTCTCTGAGCCGGGTTCAGACCTGGCCCCCCCTTACATCTAGCCCCCCAGTGAGGCTGCGGTTGTGTCCGGGCCCAGCCCGGGCCCCCTCCAGCAGGCAGCCACCCTGCTGCTCAGACAGATGTCCACCGGCGACGTCCCGTGGACAGTTCCACGGGCCCAGAGCGTTCCTGGAGAGGGCTGGCTCCCTAATGCTGCGGGCAGTAAACTCCACTACAAGAGCAGTGGCTGTTTATTGGGCACTTACGATGTGCCAGGCACTTTTTGTACGTTACCTCGTTAAATCCTCGCATGCACAAACCCGCAAGGCAGGTACGATTATCATCCCCATTTAAAGGTCAGGAAATGAGAGGCTCGGTGAGGATGGCACAGACTTGCCCAGGGTCGTGCAGAGAGAGGACTTGGGAAAACCAGGCTAGGAACACAAGTCGGGAGCACGCTCAGCTTCTGGTTCTTACGGCCGTGACGGCGCCCTGCAGGCCCCTTTACCCGCACACCACCCTGCCTCAGGCACGCCCGGGTGCTCTGCAGACTGGAGGGAAGCGTTCCTTCCCGGCAGGAGTCGGGGTTGGCCCGACCTCGCCCCCACCGTGAGACTTTGGTTGTCTCTCAGGGGGACTGGGACTCTAAGGTACCTCACTCACGGAGGTGGGAGTCCGAGATGGCCCAGAGGCTGCATTTCGAGCGCTGGCTGGCAGGAGAAGATGCTGGAAAGGGTGACCATAGCAAGGTCTCGGGTGCTCCACAGGCTGCCTGCAGGAGGGGGCAAAGGAGAAGGGCTGGCGGAGGTGAGGAAGGGAAGGCCGGCGCCCCGGGAAGTCCTCGGTTCTCTGTGCCAGAGCGTGAGCCCTGCCGTCCCCTGTCACCTCAGGCGTCCTCGTTCACATGGACAACCTTCGCTGGGAGGGCGTCCCTTTCATCCTGATGTCCGGCAAAGCCTTGGATGAGAGAGTGGGCTACGTTCGCATCTTGTTCAGGAACCAGGCTTACTGTGTCCAGAACGACGAGCACTGGGTCGCCGACCAGAGCCAGTGCCTCCCTCGGCAGATCGTCTTCTACATCGGACACGGTGAGCTGGGCAGCCCTGCCGTGCTGGTCAGTCGGAACCTGTTCAGGCCCTCCCTGCCCTCCGAGAGCTGGAAGGAGCTGGGGGCCCGGCCGGGGCTCCGCCTCTTCGGCCGCCCGCTGTCCGATTTCTACGCCTACCGCCCCGTGAGGGAGCAGGACGCCTACTCCGTCCTCATATCTCGCATCTTCCACGGCCGAAAGGACTCCTTCATCACCACGGAGAACCTGCTGGCCTCCTGGGGCTTCTGGACCCCCCTGCTGGACAGCCTGGCCCACGAGGTCCCGCGCCTCTACCCGGGAGGCGCTGAGAACGGGCACCTGTTGGACTTCGAGTTCAGCGGCACCCAGCTGTACTTCTCGCAGCGGCAGCCGGAGCAGCTGGTGCCGGGGCCCGGCCCCGCGCCGATGCCCAGCGGCTTCCAGGTTCTCAAGGCCAAGTACCGAGAGAGCCCGCTGATCTCGGCCTGGCCCGAGGAGCTGATCGCGAAGCTGGCCGACGACATCGAGGCCACGGCCGTGCGAGCCGTGCGGCGCTTTGGCACGTTCCACCTGGCGCTGTCCGGCGGCTCGAGCCCGGTGCCCCTGTTCCAGCAGCTGGCCACCAGGCACTACGGCTTCCCCTGGGCCCACACGCACCTGTGGCTGGTGGACGAGCGCTGCGTCCCGCTCTGGGACCCCGAGTCCAACTTCCAGCACCTGCAGACCCACCTGCTCCAGCACGTCAGGGTCCCCTACTACAACATTCACCCCATGCCCGTGCATCTGCACCAGCGGCTGTGCGCCGAGGAGGACCAGGGCGCCCAGACGTACGCCAGCGAGATCTCGGCCCTGGTGGCCAACAGCAGCTTCGACCTGGTGCTGCTGGGCATGGGCGCGGACGGGCACACGGCCTCCCTCTTCCCGCAGTCGCCCAGCGGCCTGGACGGCGAGCAGCTGGTCGTGCTGACCGAGAGCCCCTCCAGGCCGTTCCAGCGCATGAGCCTCAGCCTGCCCCTCATCAACCGCGCCAGGAAGGTGGCGGTCCTGGTCATGGGCAGGGTGAAGCGTGAGATCACCATGCTGGTGAGCCGCGTGGGCCACGAGCCCAAGAAATGGCCCATTTCGGGCGTCCTGCCTAGTTCCGGCCAGCTGGTTTGGTACATGGACTATGAGGCGTTTCTGGGATGAGGGCCCCAGTGGCCTCTGCTCACTCCCGCTCTCGCTCTCCCCGTACTGTCCCCTCTCCTCTGTCCCGCCACCTGCCCTGGCTGCCCGGAACCCTATGCCTCGGGGTTAGGCCGCCGGAGAGGAAAGGACGAGGCCTTATCCCAATCCCTTTGACGGTCCCTGTCTAGTTGTGGTGGGTAGACACAGATGCAAGGAAAAAACGGAGTTTCTGCTCTCGAGAAGTTTCCGGTCCTGTTCAGCAGAGAAGTATCCACCTTAAGAGCATACCTGTGGCCTTTCCCCACGAACACCAGCAGCACAGAACCGGGCAGGGGGGAAGGCTCCCAACTCCGGCAAGAATGCCATGATTAGGTTAACCCAGGAAGGCTTCCCGGAGGGGGTGATCCTTGAGCTGGCTCCCATGGAAACAGACTATGGATGGTAGAGAGAAGGGACACAGGTGTCCACCGGGTGCAGAGCCCACGCAGAGCAGGTTGCTGGGAACTGTCCAGAGACCTCGAGTTGGCCGAGTCCCCGTTTCTTCTGTCCCCTCCTCCCCTTCTTCCTGAGCCTCTGACATTTAGCCTTCTGTTCTGGCCTCTTGGTGGCTGTCTCTCCTGCTCCCTCTGGGTTCCCTTCCTCTCGGTTCTGACTCTGACGATGGTGGGGTCTTTTCTCATCGCTCGGTCTCTCTGCTGCCCCCCAGAGGGGTGAAGGATGGTAGCGTTACACAGCAACAAACGCAAGGAGGTTAAAAGGTCCCAGAAATCTCGCGGCTTCCTCTGCGTGGGGGGGGGTCCCCGCCTGCTCTCCCTCCTCCAGCCGGCCCCCTGCCCCCTTCGTGATGCACGGTGCGCAGAGATGATTCGGCCATTCCAGGGATCCTCACTTATGAGGGTCCTCTGTACCGCAGGGGACTTCCGGTGGGCGTTTCCACTCTCAGTATACCCTCGGGCTTTACCAGGAAAGATCCAGTTTTAAGTCTTTCTCTGATGGTGACACATCATATGTGGGGAGAGACCCCGTGCAAACCGTCTCCACCATCCAGGTGCCCTGACCTGACCAGACGGGAGTCAGGCCCCCTCGGTGGGGCAGCTGCGGCCTTCTCGGGGACATGGCGGGTTCGCGGGGCCACGGGGGGCGGGGGGGAGGGGGCAGGCGTCCCACCGACTGTGCTCCCTCCCAGTGGATGAT